ACCGCCGCCCCCGACGGCGTCCGGCCCGGCGTTGGCCTCGGTGGCGGGACCGCGCAAGAGCAGCTCGTCGCGCCGCAACGCGTGGGGCAACTTGTCGTACGCGGACCTCATCACCAAGGCCATCGAGAGCGCCCCGGAGAAGCGGCTCACCCTCTCGCAGATCTACGAGTGGATGGTCAAGAGCGTGCCCTACTTCAAGGACAAGGGCGACAGCAACAGCTCCGCCGGCTGGAAGGTGAGCGAGAGGAGGAGCAGGAGGAGGAAGGGTCCGGATCCCCCCAGCCCGCCCGCCCGCTCTTTCTTCTTCACCTCCCCCCCCGGGTCTCCCAGCGCTTCCCAAAGTTTGCTGCTCGCTGTCGGCGAGGCAGAAGGACGGGAGCGGCGCCTCGCTTTCCGCTTCGAGGCTGGCAAGGCCCGCCGAAGGGAGGGCAGAAGGAGAAGGGGCGACGAGGCTCTGGGTTTTCCGGACCGGTCCCCCCCACTTCCCCGCCCCAAGGGATCCCCATAGGCAGCGGGGGTTGCTTCGTGGCTGCTGCCTCCTCCGCCCGCGCCGCCTTTTCCTCTCCCTTTGCGCCACTCGGGGCAGTGACGCCGGGGGGGGGCATGCCTGGCCGAGCAGCAGGAGAGGGGAAGGGATCTGTGTGTGTGTGTGTTACGTGGGTTGTTGTGGTTTTCGGGGCAGCTTTCTGCCCCGGCCAAGTTCAGCCCGGGACGATCTCGGCCCAGGCCTTGAAGGACGTGGAGGTGGGGGGAAGAGACCGCTAGGCAGGCGGCGAGCGGAGCAGGGGGGGGCACGTCCCCAGAGAGCCGCCTGCCTTCCTGCCTTTGTGTCGGAGCGCCTCGAGGGGAATGTGGAACTCGGCCCGACAGCTGGCGACGAGCACCGCTGTGTCATTTCCTCCGGCAGATTTGAGAGGCCCCGAAAAGTGGAGGCGAGTCGATCCTGCCTGGTGCTTGGGAGAACCGGGAGAGCCCTTGCCTCCCACCCCCCAGGCAGTAGAATTGCTGGCAGGCAGGCGATGGTTTTTGTTCAGGGGAGGTGTGGATGGTAAACTATGTTCCTGGTCTGGATGCACCAGCATATTTGAGGCTGGCGCCTTAAGGTGTTGCTTCCTCCTCTAAGACAGCTAGATGCTCGGGTTTATCCCTTTAAACCTATGGCAGGACCCAACCGGCCGGACCCAGTGAAGATTTCTTGAGAAGCTTTTGTGCTGGCTTTGAGAGGTTCCCGCAACAATTTATGTGTGTAATGGGTCGGTTTCCAAAAGGGTTCCTCTTAGAGAGAGAGAGGAAACAGTTGCCACACACCTGTTTACTAATAACTACATTTTGTGTATAACCCTGCTATAAAATAAAAGGAAGGATGTGTTGGAATCCTTGACCTTTTTGGTCTTGCAGATGTTGAAAGATGCACAAATCTGATACTGAGCATAGATTTGCCATGACTGGTTTTACGTGGCATTTGTTGGCAAAATGAGGAGGGGAAAACGATCTTATTAATATATCATGCAACAATATTGCAGACTGGCAGTGGATTTCCACCCCGTGTGGTTTGAAGCAAATGGAGCAAAAACTGTCTGCAGTGTTGCTTAGGGTAAGTTGACTTGCAGTTTCTGGGTTAGACTTCGCCTCTTCAGTTGTGCCATATGACGCCTTTCGTTTGGCAACTGCAGGAGAAAAAAAGGAAAAGAATGTGGATGAGGCACGGGCCATTTTGAAGGAGAAAATGGGATGTTGGCCCTATCATTCTCCCCCCCTCTCCGGGAGGGGGGAATGGGGGAGGGACTCCTTATTGCTCAGTATTATAACCAAACTTTTTTTTCCTTTTTTGAATTGGCCTGATTTGTGATTTGTGGCTGTTTAGCAGCCATTTAGTTACGCAAGAAAAGAAAAGGTTTAGGGGTGATTTCCTCTATATGAAATGACATTTCAGTTTTATCCGAGACTGTCTTGGTCTTTCATAATGATTCCTTGGCCCGTCCCTAGGAAGAAGCTGTTTGATTTGGGGGGTCTAGGAAGCAGCATAACTGTACGAATGCAGTGGACCATGGCAAAGATTTTGGGTTTCAGCTGAGGGAAATCAGGAAGCTCCTTCAGCCAGTACGGTACATGGGGCATTTTGAGGAAGTTGTTGTGGATTAAGGCAGGAACTTGTGGTTGTCCAGATGCTGGAACACAATTGCCATTATCCCCGACAGTTAGCTATGCTGGATGGGGTGGATAGGGGTTGAACACCTGGAAGGCTGCAGGTTGCTCATCCCTGTTTGTAAATGTTCACACAAATGTGAACAGGCAGGCGGGCAGATGTTAAGGGTTCCACATGAATAATTACTACATAAATAGCATTCGTTTTATTGTGTATGTTTGCAACAGCTCTGAATATTAGCCTTTAAATATACTGTTCACTAACAGAATCATGATTTGAATATGTGAGTAAAAGTGGCTTTAATTTAATCTGCAGCAGTGCCATCGAAGTAGGAGGTTTTGACAATTAGTCTAGAGTGGGGAAAGAGTAACTTTTTCTGAAGTAAGGAAACAGGAGCTTTTTAAACTTGGTAATATCAGTTTTGCTAAATGCAGCATCACATGGCAAAGCTGTGCAACGTCTTTGCTGCTGCTGACTTCATAGACAGTGGTTCATGCGCTGGTTTGCTGCATCTAATTAGGCATAAGTCGCCATGCTCACAACTTACACTAAGCTTATAGCTGGGTCAGGCTTTGCAGTTTCATTCTGGATGTGAGGCCTGCCTTGACGATATACTACTTTTTAAATAACGGTAGATAATAAACAGCAACCATGAATTGCAGCTTCCTTTCTCAAAAAGGTATTGCATCTCTGAATATGTTAAAAGCGTACTTAAATTAACCTAGAGGTTTGGGATATTGTGAGTCTAACAAAGGATGTGCAAAAATCATTTGGAATTTGGGATTATAAAATTGTCCTACAAGTGACTATTTCACTTATTTGTAAAATAGTGAAGTAGAGTGTGAACATGAATTCTGTTGCATGGTAGTCTGTAAAAGTGGTGATCTCGTGGGCTGGGATGATGGTAAGCAGAAAAATCATGAGACATTTTAAAAAGTTGTTATAACTGTTTTAAATTTCTGTTGAACAGTTCTGTAAGCTTATTTTTTATTGATAAGGACCTGCAGAATGGTGCACTGTACTGTAGGGAGTTGATTACATGACTTACAACAAGTGAAAGACTAACAAATATATTGCAGTACGAAGTTTGGTGGGCCAAAGCCCATTTTGTCAGATGTGTCTGATGAGTTGGGCTTTGACTCAGAAAAGCTTAAGCCACAATATATTGGTTGGCCTTTACGGTATTGCAGGGCTTAGTCTCTTGCAGAAAAAAAAAAAACAACCAACAGGATGACTCTTCTGCCGTTTCTGCTAGCAAACACTGCTTGTTCAGTGTCGGCATCAGTGGAATCTCTGGGTATGGAAAATACAGGGGCTGGTGCATCTAAAAGAAATAAGCAGACTCGGGCATCTGCATGTGGGTTGCAACCCGATGGTTGTTCCACTGAAGAAAGGCTCTTCCTGTGGTGGAGGTTTTCATCAGTGGAACAAGCAGGGACTCGATGTTTGGCAGTTCCCCTTTGCCGTCTTACCTGTTCTGATATGTTTGGAGCACAATGTGAGGGTTGCGAAGAGGAGTGGAAGTATCCCCAAATTACTTCCCTCCTTATTCTGTTGACAGAAACCTCTGCTGAAGCAAAGACTCCTTTGTCAGTCAGGAAACACCAGCTGGAGGCAGTCATTTGTCTTTAAAATCGTGTACTAACCTTACACAATCTGCCATCTTAATTCCTCTTTTAAGTTGCCCAGGATTATGTTCTGGTAGCAGTCCTTTCCATCGTTGTACTGTGACCGTCTTGAACAACTTTCTTTGTTAAGGACCGCATAGGGGACGCCTCAGAGGACAGAATTTCGGGCAGGGTCACTATTTAGGTTGCACAGCAGCTACATCTTCTGCATGAAGTATTAGAGCTAGTGCAGATGTCAGGTGTGTGTGTTAGCATGTGTTGAAAGCTGTTCTACACTCCTAGTGACATTCACTTATGTTCCATTTACATAAAGTAATTTAAGTAATCTGGACTGCAAGTTTAATGCAGGTTTATAACTGATTTCCGAAACAGCAGTATCATATCAATATATAAGCATGAGTTGGATGTTAATTTTTTTCCAGTCTGTATACTGATGGGAGGTTGTACAGCAAAACCACTTTTATTCTTCAGCTTTGAGGGATCTTGGTGCAATAACTTAATAAGCATTTTGGCTTCCTGGATATTTCATTGCTTCTAACCCCCGCTACTCAAAGCATCTTACTTTGTCACTGAGAGAAAATGTGATTCTTCCTCAGTCTTTACTTTTCATCAAACTCTCGAGGCTGAGTGATTTTCTGCTATGCCTCTCAAGGAAATGAATATTTATGCTTTTGTTTGTTTGTTTGTTTTTGGAAGGTGGTAAATACCATGAAAGCTAACCCATCTTGTGTCCAACATTCTGATAGGATGCTTACCCCCTCGTAGTTGTGAAAAGATGGGATTCCTCTCTAGTGCAAGAGCAACTTTCCTCCCTAATTTATTTTTAAAAGACAGCAAACAGCTTATGGCTACCTGTTGACAACAGTGCTGTTCGAGAATCTACAAACATCGTTGCCAGGTAGCTACCAGTGACCACACATGCTTTAATGTGATCACCTGTCCCTGGTTGCCCAACACATAGATGTTTTTTCTCTGAGACTCTGATACATTAAAAAGAATGGTAGGAACAGAGGAGATGTGGATGCAGTCTTCCATTTTATACAACGAAAGAGAGGCAGATGCTACTCTTTTTTCCATGTTCTTTTCTAGCGCATTCAGAGAATGTGGGGAAGGGCCAATCTTTGGCTTTCTCTGAACCCTTAGAGACATAATGAAAAATTTTCACTGCTTCCAAGGGTTATGAAAGCCCAGTATGCAATGCATTGAAAAGTAGATCCCTCTCTTCTTTTGACTTCTTGGCATGCTCCAGGGACATAGACATAATAAAGTAGTCTGTTGATAATGTCTTTGTCTACAGACCGGATTTCCTAGTTACTTTTGACACCGTGGTTTTCTGTCATTAGAGTGGGGAAAAAATGACAGCTGCCCTCAGGAGACAGTGCAGAAATCCAGGACTTTGCGTTGATTTGGCAGTGCTGTTTCCCCTTTATTTTGCTCTTTAAACTTTTGGTTATACGTTGGAATTTTCCTTAGATTGCCCTGTAGATACTTACCATGTTTATTGTTATTGTGTGCCATCAAGCCCCTTCAGAGTTATAGTGGCTCTGTGAATGAATTACCTCCAGAAAGTCCCATTGTCAACAAGCCTGCTCAGTTCTTGCAAACTCAAGGCTATAGTTTCCTGTATTGTCCACTCCATCTCTTATTTGGTTTTCTGCTTTTCCTGTTGCCTTCAACTTTTACCAGCATCATTGTCTTTTCCAGTGAGTTCTTGATTTCTCATGATGTGCCTAAAAATACAATGGCCTCAGTTTTATCATTTTTGCTCCTAGAGAGAGTTCCAGTTCAGTTTGATCTAGAACCCATGTTCTTGTCTTTCTGGTGAGCTATAGTATCCACAAAGCTCTTCTCCAACATCACACTTCAAAAGAATCTCTTTTTTTCTGATAGATTTCTTCACTATCTAGCCTTCACATCTGTACATAGTAATATAGTATAGGTAATCTTCACCTTGGCCACCTGTGACACATCCTTGCACTTGAGGATTTTTTCAGTTCTTTCATAGTAACCCATCCATTTCCCAGTCTTGCTGTGATTTCTTTGTTGTAATTTCCATTTTAGTTGATGATTGAACCAAGGTATGGAAAATCTTTAACAATTTTGCTTTCTTGATTGTCAGCACTACAGTTATGTAATGTGGACATGGTTTTTGACCTCTTAATATTCAATTGCCACCTTGCTCTTACATTTCTTTTTTCACCTTTATTTGAAGTTATTTCAAGCCATTGCTGCTTTCTACAGATTTGCCATTCAACTGTTTTGGACCCTGAATTCCAGAATTCTCTAAGAATTCCCTAGGTGGAATTCCAGGAGTTCTAGCCTATCGACACACCCCTACATTTACTACTCCACACTTGGAAAAGGGTGTAGCTCAAAATTCTCCACAGCCTAAGCTCTGGCCTGCCCTGGTGCTACCTAGTAGCTTGAAGTCTCCATGGGAGATACAGCTCTTTTAGCAGTGCCCTGTATAGAGCTCAGTGAGCAGTGAAACTACAGCGGAACCTCGACTTACAAACTTAATCCGTATTAGAATGGTGTTCCTACATCGAAACATTCATAGGTCGAAGCAAAATTCCCCATAGGAATACACGGAAAACCGATTAATCCATTCCGGCTAGTTTTTGTCCTTACGTCAAGGCATGGTTCATACGTCAAAGCATTAGTTCCCATAGGAACTAAAGCAAAGCCGGTTAATCCGTACTCTACTACTAGAGGGAGTTGTTTTTTCTTCTTTTGACCTAAGATGAACTTAGATCAAAAAAAGGGCAGGAAAGGAGGGAGGGGGGAGGGAACACCTTCTAAACACAAGATCTTTTAACCCAAGCACCTTTTAAACAAAACCAAGCACCTTTTAGCTTTAAAAAAGTGCAGGAGAACACCTTTTAAACAGAAC